TTGGGTTGCCTGATGGTTGGGGAGGAGAGAGATGCGTCCCCGTTTGGTTGAATCAGCTTTTCTCCTTGTTTCTGTTTGTGTTTTGATTTTAATTTCATGTCTTTTTGTTAACTCATTGGTGATGGGGGAGGAGATGCAGAGCGGAGCAAAACCAGCCCAAGGCTCTGAAATCAGGAGTTTTAGTACAGAGACCGTGCAGGTGCTGCGAGCTGGAAACACACACGTACAAACTACCTCAGAGCTGATGGGAGGCCCCGAGGGAAGGACGGGGGGTCCCTCATTGCCCCTGTGGCAGGATCTGCCCTCCAGCACCCCCGAGCTCAGCAGAGACCCTCCTGGCTGGTGGGGAGGCAGTTTTGGTGTCCTGGCTGTTAGGGAGAGCTGTGTGGTGGAAGAGGAGAGCGGATGAGGAAGGCTCTGCAGGATGCTGGGATGTGGCGTGGGACTGTGGCTGAGTTGGACCCCTTGAAAAATCAACCCTGGGTTGACTTGGGCGTGAGGTTGATCCCTGCTGCTTTACTGTGCATTACAGGATTCCTTAGTTGTCTAAATACCTCTGATTGGTGGTGGTGGGGTGCTCTGCTGGACCACAGCAGCGGGGTGCTCTGCTGGACCACAGCAGCGGGGTGCTCTGCTGGACCACAGCAGCGGGGTGCTCTGCTGGACCACAGCAGCGGGGTGCTCTGCTGGACCACAGCAGCGGGGTGCTCTGCTGGACCACAGCAGCGGGGTGCTCTGCTGGACCACCGCAGCAGCCTGTCCGCACTCATGTGGCAGAGCAGTGGCTTACGAAGTGTAGAAAGCATTTGGGTGCTGCAGATCATCACGAGCTGACACCGAAAGGCATTATTTTTGCTTTAACCACCCCCAGTTTAGTTAATAATTTCAGCCCCAGGAGTCAATGTACAACAGGACTGAAGCCATTTGGTTTTGGACCAGTTTGGGAAGTGGGCTTGGTAAAGCAGCACCAAATCCAATGGGAAAGAGTTTGCTGATGTTTTGGAGTGGGGAAGGGCTGATCCGGAGCATGGCTCCGGCAGGACGGGAGGCAGGGAATGGCACTGGGCTTGCCAGGCTCTCCCATCGCTGTTGGCAGATCATCCTGGGAAATCATTAGGATTGACTGGAATCAGGGCAGGAAGCAGTCCTTCACATGCCTGTACTCGGTGTGAGTGCGCGCTACCCAGCGGTAAATCATGTCAGTTCGTTCAGAGCGCATCTGGATTCATCTCGGGATCAAATTCCTTGACTTCAGGAGGAAAACTTGTCCCAAACCCATGCCCCCCCCCATGCCACTGCCACCTCCTGTGGCCCAACTGGTTTTAGGGTGGCTCCCGAGGCAGCCTGAACTATTCCTGAGAGCCCCAAGGGGCCGGTGCCCGTGGAGCCCCTCAGCTTCACCTCACATCAAACCTGGGGGGCACAACCTTATATATAACCAATTCATTTTTGTTTTATCTACCTCTTAGCGACAATAGATGGAAACCTAGGTAGTGGCAACTCCACAGGCTGTAGTTTAGGGGAAAAAAATAAAAAACAAGCAAAAAAAAAAAAAGAATAACTACTCTCTTTTTCCAAAGAAAAATGTTCTTTAAGAATAGAATTTATGGGCTTTCTTTTTCACTTGAAAGTGGTCGTTAGTTGTAAAAGCTCCAGACCTCGGCAGTCCAAAATGTTGGGTTGTGACTGATGTTCTTCTGAATGCTCAATCTTCCATGACCTCCTTTTTTCCTTTAGAACGTGGCTACTTCCTTCTTCCACAGCAGTACTTCCATAGCAGTGCCCCTCCATCCTCCCCGCTTCCCCAGCCCGCTCCAAGCCTGGCTTTTGCTCTTGGAATCGCAGGCAAGAGGATGGTTTTCCTTTTCCCAGTGGCTTGGTGGGGTTGGTGGCAGCGTGAGGCGGGGATCGAGCTGCACTGGGGGTGCTGCATCACTGGGAGCACCCATTCCTCATCCACCGGCCGGGTGCACCCAAAGGTGCTGCTCCTCCCGGCAGCCGCCCCAATGCAACTTGAGGCTATTCCGAAGCTCAGTTGTGCTTTCCTGTGTTGACAATTGGTTTTTCCTCTTTTCAGCTGATTTCTTTTCTCCCCTTCCCTCTCCTCCTTTCCTCCTCTCGTCCGTGTTCTTGCCTTGTCCCCTCACGTGAGGCAGTTTGTTGGCTTGGATGTGGAGTTGGGGTTTTGGATGGACGTGGGCTCCGTTGCTCTTCCAGCGAGGTTGTTTTTTCTCCTTGGTTTGGTTTCTTTTTTTTTGCCACAAACCGCTTCACTCCACTGTTTCATTGAAAAATAAAGAGGAAAAAAAGACAAATGAGCAAAAAAAAAAAGCCTCCACAAAGTGTTTGTGTGCGTTTGTATGGGGGTAGGGGGTGGGGAAGAGGAAATAAAGGGGGGAATAGAGGATTACGGGAGGAAATGGGAAGTAGAGGAATAAAGGAGGGCTAGAGGAAAAACAGAGATTAAAGGGGGGATGGAGGACAAATAGAGGAAATGAATGGAGGGAAATAGGGGAAAACAGAGAAAGGGGAGATGGGAAGGAAAGGCGAAATAAAGGGGAAAATGGAGGAAAAGAAAGGGGGAATGCAGAGGAAAGGAGAAATATGGAGGGAAAAAGGGGGAATAGGGAAAAATTGATAAAGGGGGAAATGGAGAGGAAGAGGGGGGAATAGAAAACAAAGATAAATAGAGGGGAAATGGGGAAAATAAAGAGGGAATAGAGGAAAACTACAGGAGAAATAGAGGAAAACCCAAACAAACGGGGCAAATCGGTGTTGAGGGTTGGGGATAACTGAGCGCAGGTGGCTCGGAGGCATCCCAGAGGATGCTCCGAACTGTGTCCTTAGTGCCGGTAGCACTCAAACGGGGCCGGTATGGTGATTTAACGGGGTTTTAAGGACTAATTGATAGCGTTTCCTATCCGGGAGGTGCGGATGCGTCCTGGATATGCAGCAGCCTCCGGACCCGCTCCCGGGCGGCTCAAGGGCACCGAGAGCGACCGGTCGGTCGCTCTCGGTGCCCTTGAGCCACTCGGGAGGGGGTCCGGAGGCTGCCCGCAGCGGGGAACGGGCGCTGTCGGTACCGGAGAGGGAAGGCAGGGATAGGAAACAGGATCCCATCGCCGCAACAGCGGGATAACGGGAGCGAGCATCCCGGCGGCGTCGGGCACCGGGGTACAGTGAGTGCGCAGGGATACCCACGCTACGCAGCGGTCCCATGGTGTAATGGTTAGCACTCTGGACTTTGAATCCAGCGATCCGAGTTCAAATCTCGGTGGGACCTCGCGTTCTTTTTGCCTCTCTCCGCCGCCGTTCCGGTAACGCAACGGAGGCGGACGTGAAGCGGGGCGGGAGGGCAAACGGGAGGCAACCGGGAGCGCCCGCCCGCACCCCCGGCACCCGCCGGGCTCCATTTTGTGTGCGGGGGCGCCGGTTCCTGACTGCGCATGCGCAGGAGAGGCGGGCCGGTGCTGAGGGCGGGGCGCGCTTATCTCGCTCTCAGCGCTGATTGGTTTCGAGGGGTGTCACTCCCACCTCTCCGCGCTGCTATTGGCTGAAAGCGCCCTCCGCCCCGCCTCCCCCCGCTGTCGGTGGAGAGACGCCGCATTAGAGCGTTGGAAGCCGGTGGGTGCGGGTCTCGCTCCGGCACCGGGAGGGGTCTCGGCCCGCGTTTAAGCCGCCTTTGGGCACAGAAGCGTCCCGAATCCCTTCAGCAGCGGCTTAGCGGCTCTGACGCACGGTTTCCACCCGTTTAACGTCCTTATCGGGGTCAGTCCCCGCAGGAGACCCGGCCGCGCCCGGGTTATCGGCCCTGCAGCCCAGGCAGCGCCCGTGGAGCCGCTCTGCAGCCCTGCCCCGTGCCCGCCGCGCGAAGAGAGGCCGCGGTGGAGCTGTCGGGTTTATTTAGCGTCTGCGGGAAGGAACAAAACCCCCTCGTTTCGGTCGGGTTGGGGTAGGGAGGCAGGTGAGTGCCGGAACTGCCGCAGGGAGGAAAAGCCTCTTCCTTGGGTCAGTCCCTGCCAGGGAACCCCCATCCTGGGGCGTTGCTGGGGCTGAAGGGGTCCCGTAGGCGGTGCTGAGCAGGGCTGGCCATGGATGGGACCAAGCCGTGGCCCAGCAGGCAGGAAAACGCAGCTCCAGGTGGGGTTGACAGCGGCTTCCCTTCAAGCACAGCACTGAAATGAGGGCCAGGCCCCTCTCCGTGTGCTCCTGGCGCCTCAGCACCGTGGTCCACCCGCACCCTTCCCAACAGGTACTGGCTGCACCACCGCCCCTTGCCGCGCATCGGATGAACGAGGTTGGCTCCTGCCCCGAGGTTGCAGCCTTTGTCTTTGCTGGGCCTGACTCTGCCGTGGGCTGTGTGGAGCTGAGCGGGTCTGGGCTCTGAGGACGGCTGTGCTGTCAGAGGTGGGCTGGCAGGAGGCAGAAGTGGGACAGGACCTGAGGGGCCCTCAGAAACGAGAAGGGCTGCAAATAAAAAGAGCTGAAATAATAAGATTGGGCAAGTTTTGGAGTGTTTTCCCCAAAGATCGTACGTAGCTGTGATGGGTTAGGAAAAGAAAACCCCAAAACTTCCCCGAAGCATCACCCTCCCGAGCACAGAAGCTGGCTCGTTTCTATCAAGCAGGGGGATGAGGTTTGCCCTTGGGAGCAGGGGGATCCTAGCCTGGCGCTGCTACCTGAGGGCTCGGTGAGTCCTGCCCTGCTTGCTCCCCGGAGCTGCTGCACCCACCCTGCCCCACGTCACCCCCATCGCGGCTGGGACACGGTGGGATGGGGCCCGCAGCCCCGCTGCCCCTCTCTGGGGCCTGGTGGTGGCAGCAGCAGGGAGCTGAGGGGAAGCGGGGGCAGTGCTCGGAGCCCCATGGGCGCAGGCAGGACCTGGCCTTGCGTTCCCGTGGCTGCCGGGGGGGTTCCAGGGGAGGAAGCGAGAGTGAGCGGTGGGGTCTGACCTCGGAGCATGGGAATTACCCCTCCTGTGCCTGAGGCACGGGGAGGAGCTGACTCGGGCACGGCTCTGCTGCAGCAAGCGGGGCTCAGCTCCGGACCTGGGCTGCTTGAGCCCAGCGCCGTGGTTTCGGTAGAGCCCAGGGTGCTGCTGCCTGCTCCGAATGCAGAAGTTTTGCCTGCAGGAAGCCGAGGGCAGCTGAGCTGTGGGAGCACGAGAGCCGGCGCCGTGCTGGCTGCTGAACCTCATCTCCGTGCCACTGGGGTAAGGGGGGGGGCTCTTCTTTGCTTTGCTGCTCTTGCTGGCCCTGAGGTGCGCTACGCTTGGGTTCCGGACTCCCCGGTGCCGAGGGCAGACTACAGGGAAAGCAGGGTTGGACAGTCTTGGCTTGCACACGGGAGCGTCCCTGTGCCCCGCGGTGACAGCAGCAGTGGGGTCAGCTTATTGTGCAGCCACCCTTCTCCTTAAAGGGGTTCTTGTCCTCGGGGACTCCTTTCAGCAGCGGGTCCTCTCCTGCCATGGACTCGATGTACTCCTTGAGCTCTTTGCCGGTCTTGGAGATCTGCCAAGGAAGGAGACATTCCGTGGGCGTTACGGGACCAAATCCTCACGGCAGAGCTGCCTGCAAACCCGTTTGTGCAGCCAGGAGAGGGGAACCGTGCCCATGAGCATCCCACCCAGCGTGGGGTGTGCTCGGGAGCATCCCCACGGTGCTGGGGGCACCCCTTGGGCTGTAAGGACACGGGGCTAAGCCCGATGGGGGATGTTTGCCTTGAGGGGAGGTGTGAGTGCCCGTGCTGCTGCCTGTTGGAGGTTTAATTGCAGGGGTTGCGGCTCCTCTCCCTTGCAGCACAGTCAGGGAACTGCCCCGGTGTGTTTTGGTTCAGGACTCACCATCTGCCTCTCGTTCTTCACCTCCTTCTTCAGCTGATCCAGCTCCATCTTCAGCAGCTCCTTCTCTGTCATGTCCTGAGCCATTCTGCCCTGTAAGCACGGGGAAGAGCTCATTAGGGTACAGCTGGGCTTCTCCTAAGGCGCATCAGGAGCATTGCTTGAGCCCTGCTGATGCTGCAAACACCTCTGATGTCTCAGCTCCTTCCATGGTGAGAGCTGGGCTGGTGCTAAAGGAAAACCTTTGTAAGGTGTTAAAGGCAGGAGGCACCTTTCAAAGCCCTTCTTGTATCGTCCTGTAACCAGGTTGCCATTGCCTTGGTGTCGGCAGGCACAGGGTGACTGATGCAGTTGGGCAGCAGAGGAGGACCCAGCCTGGTTTCTGAAGAGCTCTTTGCTACCACAAGCTTTCAGGTGACCGCTTGAGTGGGGCTGAGCCTGGAAAAAGGCTTCTGCCTTTGGGCTGTCAGAGCAGGAGCCTCCTAAGAGAACCTGGATGCCAGGTTTGGAAAGCAGACCTTCCTGGTCCGTGCTTCCCCCCCCAGTAATGCTGATTCTGGCCCCTTCCTTGCTCTGAACTTGCCTGTTTGCGCCCAGAGGCGTTGCTGGCTGCTCCTGGAAAATTTTGGGGCCATGGGGATTGGAAGAGCCCGCCCGAGGGCTGTGTGAGATCCCTGCACAAGCGGCCCTGCCCTGGGATCTGTTCCCACCTTAGCACTGGGCTTTAAACCCGGTGTGTCCCAGACCCTCTTGGCTTTCTGTGCCTGCTCCTGGCCGCTCCTCTCCCCATCCATGCCCCAGGAGGTGCACGTAGCAGAGCCTAAGGAGCCAAGAGCCACGGCAGAGCCGTGCTGCTGGCCTAAAGCAGGGGGACCCCACGCTGCGATGTGTGCCTGGGGGAAGCAGAGTCACTCACCTCTGGGGACGAGGCGCTGCCCCTCTCAGCAGTGGAGATGCTCAGAGACCCATCCAAGGGGAGATGCCGTTGGCTGCGGTCTTGGTCTCCTGCTCCAGGCTTGAGGACTCCTTCAGCAATGCAGAAGGGTGCTGGGGAGCAGATGTCTTTGGTCCTAAAGCTGATAATAGACTCAGGAGAATAAGCTGGTCAGGTGTTGGGCATTAGCCTCAAAGCCCAGGGTAATCAGTGGTGGGGCTGTGGGGAGGGTGAGGGTGGAAGCCTTTGACCCCCTGCCATGGGTGTCTGTGCCATAGAATCCCAGCATCCCAGCCTGGTTTGGGTTGGGAGGGCCCTTGAAGCTCACCCAGCTCCAACCCCTGCCACAGGCAGGGACCCCTTCCACTGGAGCAGCTTGCTCCAAGCCCCTGTGTCCAACCTGGCCTTGAGCACTGCCAGGGATGGGGCCTCCTGCCCCGTGTCCTGCCCTGGCTGGGGCACAGGGAATGGGAGCAGCTTTCCCTGAGTTGAGAAGGGGAGGAAGAGGAGAGGAGCCGGGGCCAGGGGACCTCGCTGGGGGCCGGGAGCAGCTCTGGGTCCTCCAGAGTGTGAGGAGCCGGAGGAAATCCATCATTTCCCTCGTCCCTGTGCTGGTGGGGCCACAGGCTCAGGAAGGGCCGAGCCCTGGCGTGGGCTTTGCTCCTGTCTGGCGGGTGCAGAGGCGCTGGGGCTGAGGACAGAGCAGGGGAGGCCCCGAGGAAGCACCTGCGGGAGGAGAGGGATTTCCAGGCACCAGGGAAGTGGGAATTTCCTGCCTGGCCTCTCCCGAGGGATGTGAGCTGTGAGCAGCACATCCCTGCGTGCCCGGGTGGTACTGAGCGGGGCTTTGCCTGCATCTCCTGCCTGGCTGGTAGAGGCGAAGGGAAGGGGCATGGCCCTGCCTGGCTGAGCCCCGCACCAGCACCAGCAGCAGCAGCAGCAGCAGCAGCAGCAGCAGCGCATGGACCCGGTGGCAGACACGGGGCTCGGGGTGGGTTTCGGTCCATGACTCACATCCTTCGCTGCTGCCGTGAGCCCCGCACGTCCCTCGTGGGGCTGAGGCTTCCTCCCCAGCTCGCTGTGATGGGGGGGCGCCCCTCGGGCCCTGCGTCAGCGCGGCCGCGAGCCTCAAAGCAGGGCGCCGGGGAGGAAGTGGGCGCAGAGCCCGCACCATGGCGGAGCAGGAGCAGGAGCAGCTGCAGCGATGCATCCCATCGGGGAGGGAGGCCCTGCGCCAGCACCACTGCAACCTCCAACGGGTGGCCGAGTACTGCGAGAGCAGCTACCTGCAGGTGAGGGGCCGGGAGCGGCGGGGCGAGCCCTGGGGTGCTGCCGGCAGCACTGGAGGGGTTGGTGGTCTCTGAGCGGTGCGGACGGGAGCCTGAGCAGCCCTTACCCAACACATGGTGCTGCCGCGTGGGGGTTCTCTCGTGCCTCAGTTTCCCCTCTTGCCCCACAGCGGGTTTTGTGCTCAGCTCCCAGAGCGGGTCCCTCTGTGACACCAACCCTGCTGGCCCCAGGGGGCTGGGGGTGCCTCTTGGCGGCGCGGAGGTGAACCGGGTGCTTGTCCCGGATGAGGACCTTTGGGATGAAACAGGCTCAAGCCAGACCCGGAGGCTGCTCCCGAGGGGTTGGAGCTACCGGAGTGGAGCTGAAAGGGAAACCATGATGAGACCCGGAGGAGCTGTGGCTGCCCCATCCCTGGCAGTGCTCAAGGCCAGGTTGGACACAGGGGCTTGGAGCAAGCTGCTCCAGTGGAAGGGGTCCCTGCCCGTGGCAGGGGTTGGAGCTGGAGGAGCTTTAAGGTCTCTTCATCCCAGCCCATTCTAACCGGGGTTTCTGAGCTGCCATCCCCGTGGTGCTGGTGGCGCCTCGGGCTGTCCCCAAGGGAGCGGTACCACAGCAGCAGCATCGCGGGGAGGCACCAGCGGGTCCCTGGTGCCGGGGAGGCCGGGGAAAGTTCGATGCATTTGGAAAGCAGAAGGAAGGGACCCTGTGGCTCCACGTGGAGGTCCCCGGGCCCGTCCCACCCCCTGTGCCCCCCACCCCTTGTGTTGCAGGCGAGCGACCAGCGGCAGGCGCTGGAGGAGACGATGGCCCTGAGCGTGCAGTCCCTGGCCAGCGTCAGCTACCAGGTGAGCAGCTTGGCCAGCGCTTTCCTGCGGCTGCTGGACCTGCGGGCGGCCGAGCTGCGCAAGGTGGAGGCCGACATCAGCTGCATGGCCCAGGTTGGACCCCTCGGGGCTGGGAGCTATGGGAAAGGGGGGGTTTGGGCAGCTCAGAGGGGACAAAGACCCCCCCGAGTCATGCGGAGCCCTTCACCCCCCTCCGCAGCATCACCTGGCAGTGGAGATGTGAGACCATGTCCGTGGTGGTCCCCCAATGCGTCAGGGGGAACGAGTCCATCTGGGGCTGGGTCATTGGTCTCTGGGGGGTTCTCCTGGTCTGGGCACTCACAAATCCCAGTGGATCCCATGGGAGCTGCCTGGGCAGCACTGAAGTGAAGCGATGGGGTTTGCAGCCTCCGCCTAGCTCTGCCCTTGCTGGGGGCTGGCTCTGGCCTCCCGGAGCCTGGGGACACCGATGTGGATTCCCGTCACCACCCGCCCTCTTCCTGGCACTTGGAAGTCGCCTGGAGCTTTTCCAGCCACGGGAGGAGACGGGACCCCAGCATCACACTGGGAGCAGCAGGAAAACAGCTTTGGGTGCCCGAGGCCCACACCTCCGCCTGCCCCGTTCCGTGCTTTAGGAAGGGCCAGGTCTGCTGTGCTGGCACCCAGGGCATCCCCTGTGATGGAGCAGGGCAGGATCAGCCCCTGAGGCTGTGGCTGGGCTGTGGGGTTCAGGCTCGGCTCCCCCAGTCCCTCCCTGACAGACGGGGCTGGGGATGGAGGTGGGGAGGACGCGGGACGGGGCAGAGGTGACAGCGGCGTCTCCGCAGCGCGTTGAGCTGCACAAGGAGAAGGTTTCCCGCCGGGAGATCGGCTCTTTGACCGTCAGCAAGAGGTTCCCGTCGTGCCAGAAGGTCGTGGCCCCCCCCAGCCCCCCCTGCCTGGAGCCCTACTGCAGGAAACCCCTCAACTTCAGCGTCCTGGACGACATCGGCCACGGCGTGAAGGTGAGCCCGGGGCTGCGGTCCCCACTGCTCCCAGCGTTGGGTTCACAGCGGCTCAGTGGGGACCCTGCCCGTTCCCCCCCATTCATCCCATCGGGTCCCAGGCAGCGAGGGGGGCTCAGTCCAATGGAGCGCAGGGGAAGCGCGGCCCCAGCGCTCAGCAAAGCCGCGCTCGCACCGGCCCCGGGCCCTTCCCAGCACCGAAACCACCGGCACAGGAAGGCGCTGGGGGGGGGGGGGGTTCGGTCCCCACGGAGCCGCCGTGGGGCCGGGGCTGGGGGGGAAGTGTCAGCGCTGGGGCTGCGGTTCCCACGCTGCAGGCGCCTCTCTGGGCTCCTTCCGCCCCGCGGCTCCCATGGGGGACCCAGCGCAGAGCCGGGGGGGCCGCTTCCCGGGCACCGGGGGGGCACGGCCCCGCTGCCGTCACCCCGCGCCTCCCTCGCCCGCAGGACCGCAGCACCCAGCTCTCCCGCACCGGAACCCTGGCTCGCAAGGGGACCAGGTCATCGGCGCAGGCTGCGGGCACCCTGGGGTGAGGCTCGGGACGGGGGACGGGACGGGCGCGGGGCTGGGGGCATTGGGGGTCCGGCCCCATCCCAGCAGCCAGGCTGGGGCTCAGCCCCTGCTCTGCCCGCAGGAGGAGCGGCCGCGTCCCCGAGCCCGTCCGGCCACCGGTGGTTCCCGAGGGCAAGATCTCCATGGCCCCCTCCTCGCTCATCTCCATCAGGTACCGGTGCTGCAGGGAGGGCCTGGGGGGGTCAGGGCTGGTCTCTAGAGCAGCCCCATCCTGATGGGGAGGGCTGGGGCACAGGGTGGGGAAGGGGTTTGCACCACGTCAGGACCCCCTGCCCCACTGAGTGACACCCACCCCTGCGTGGGCCGAGGGTCAATGAGGAGGGGGCAAAGCTGGCCCCAGCCTGGCCTCACCCTGACCCTGTCACTGCTGCCCCCCAGCTCCAGCGGGACCCCCGGTGAAGGCATCACCCCCCCCCCGCCACCACCACCGCTGCCACCGTCGCTGCCAGGACCGTGCCCCGTGCCCGCCGCTGCCATCCCAGCACCAGCACCGCTCCCCGGGCACCCGGAGCTGCTCCCGCTGGAGATCCTGCCCCAAGGTGAGCCCGGGGGTGCTCGTCCCAGGGGGCTCACGGGGAGCGCACGTGGCCTCCGTCCCCCATGGAGCCCCTCATCCCCCATTGATGCTGCAGCCCCCGATGACCTCGAGCTGCCGCTGCCGTCACCTCCAGCTCTGCCTGACTTTGAGGACGTGGCCCCACTGCCAGCCCCCCCTGCAGAGGACCCCCCCTGGGCCCCGCAGAGCTACATGGAAAAAGGTCCTGCAGATCCCCCCCATCCCTGATCTCTGCCAGGGTGCTCTTGGTTGAGCCCAAATCACAGCACCCAGGGCTCAGCTCTGCCTGGGGCTGGAATGAACACGGAGCAGCGCCGTGGTCTGCTCCTGTCCCGGTGGAGGCTCCATGGCCCTCCCCTCCCTCCTCTCACAGTGGTGGCCCTGTACCCCTACACGCAGCAGCAGGACAACGAGCTCTCCTTCCAGCCCGGTGCCCTCCTCTTCGTCACCCGGCGCCACTCGGACGGCTGGTGCGAGGGTGTCATGGGCCAGGAAGTGGGATTCTTCCCTGGCAATTACGTGGAGCCCTTGTGAGCCCCCTGCATTCCCACCAGGAATCATCTCCCCCTGGATCAGCTCCTGCTGCACCTCGCCTCGGAATCTGGCTTTGCTCAGTACCCAGAGCATCCCCTGCGTGTTCCTTGAGTGTTTGCTGGCAGTGGCATCAGTTGCTGCTGGTACTGGGGATGGAAACGCTGGTCCCCATGGGCTGATCCTGGCGATGCTCCCAGCCCCAGGAACCTGCTGCCCATTCCCCATCAGCTTGAGCCACAGAATTGGTTTGGGTTGGGAGGGACCTTAAAGCTCCTCCAGCTCCAACCCCTGCCACGGGCAGGGACCCCTTCCACTGGAGCAGCTTGCTCCAAGCCCTGTGTCCAACCTGCCCTTGAGCACTGCCAGGGATGGGGCAGCCACAGCTTCTCTGGGCACCCTGTGCCCGCGCCTGTTGAGATGCAGAAAGGGATGAGCCAGGGCCCAATCCTCCACCAAAGGGGTACCCAAGGGGCTCCCTCCTGCAGAGCATCGCTTGCAGCCTGGCCCCACACTGCAGCTCCCCCTCCATCGCCTTCCCCCCTTTCACCGGCCCAAGGAAGGGGAACAAACGCGCACGGAGCTGTTGCACACCCAGGTTTATGCCCTGGGTACAAACACCTCGTGTCTCTGCAATACACTGCTCTGTATCTGTGTACATAGATATGCTTTTCTTTAATTCCATGGCTTTAAGTTCCACACAGTTGAACAGGGTCCAGAGGAGGAAGAACGGGGGGGGGGAATGCAGGAAGAGGAGGAACAACTCGGGGCTGCTTTGGTTATCACTGCTCAGGTTTGTGCTGGGGTTCCTATGCTTTGGAGGGGTTTCCACCACCCTCAGGGGCCATTAAGGCTGTGGAGAAATCCGGGAGAAGCCAACACCAGAGAGCAGTGAAGGCTGAAGGTCCCCTCTGCAGCACGCTCGGAGGGGGCGTTAATACTGCAGGGGCCAGGGGACCTGGTGCCAGGGAAGCGCTCAGCACCAGACCTCCCGGGGGAGCCTCCGCACCTCTCAGCCAGGGCAGGAGGGAAACTCATCCCCAGGGTCCGGGGGGAGCTGGTCTGAACCAGCGGCCACGGGGAGGTGCCCGGTGATGGCTCGGGATGAGGAGGAACCTGCCCTGGAAGCAGAAGCAGAGGATGGCAGTGGAAGGCAAGGGCAGCTCCTCCTCTTCGGACGCAGCTGCAGTGCCCCGGGGATGGGCTGGAGGAGGCGTTTTCCCAGGCACCACCTTCCCAAAGGCTTCCTGCTCCTCGTGTCAGGGGCGTTAGGGAATCAATCCCAAGGGACGATGGCTCCATCGCCAGGCCCAGGAGCGGGGCTGGGATGCAGAGGGGGAGCTCGGGCAGCTCAGATTCCCTGGGTTCCATTTCCAGCGGCCTCGTGAAGAGGCAAAGAGCCCCGGGGCATCGGGATGAAGGCAGCAGCAGGCAGCTCATGGCCAGGCCGGGCGGCTGAGGAGGATGGAGGCGCGAGGAAGCACGTGCAGGGCCCAGCCGTGGGGAGGACCCAGCCTGGTCCTTTGGGAACTGCCCTTGTGAAGTCAAAAGGGGAAGGGAAGAAAACCAAGCCCCCCCCCCCCCCCCCCCCCAAATCACCTTTAGTGTTGGCAAACACCGAGTGCATAGAGAAGGCTTCACCTCCATGGGGCAGGGGAAGGGGGACCTGGAGAAAGTGCTTGTATCAGCGGGGAGGAAGGAGCTGGAGAGGAAAGGAGCCCAGGAGCGGGGCCAAGCGAGCGGTGCCGATGAGTGGGGGGTCCACGGGGTGACCCCCCCCAGCATCTCCTCTCCCATCCTCTCCTAGCGCCCAGATCCCCTCCGAGCCATCAGCACTTCTTGAGGAGCTCCTGCAGGTAGCGGGCGACCTCCGCAGCTGATTCCCAGGGGACAACGGTGGCCTGGAAGGCTCCCGGCTGCTTCTTCTCCATCTCCTGGGTGAGCCGGTGCATGGGGAAGCCCTTCCGTGGGAAGGCCACGTCCGCGGCGGTCAGAGCGGCGGCAGGGCAGAAGTCATTGGCACCATCTCCGACGTAGAAAACCCTCTCGAACTCCAGCTCCTCCTGGGCTCTCTCCGCCAGGTATTCGGTCAGGATCTTGCGCTTGCACATGTTGGCCGGGCAGTCAAGGCACTTGTGGCTGTGGTAGGGCCCCAGGGTGAGGTACCCCCTCTTGTCGAAGCTGGCCGGGTTGCTGAAGACCTTGCGGAAGAGGGAGTAGAACCCAGCTGCCTTCAGGGCGCATTCGATGCCGAACATGTTGGCGTCGGAGATGAGGATGACCTCGAAGAGCTCGTGGTGCTTGGAGAGGAACTGGAAGAGGTCTGGCACGCCGGGGGACAGCGGGATGCTCTCGTACACGCTCTTGAAGGCGCCCATCTTGACGCCCTGGTCCCCCAGGTAGGCCAGGACCCGCTGCATGTACTCGTTGTAGGAGCCCTCGCGGAAGGTCTGGCGGATGTGGTCCGGGAGCGCCTGCCCCGGCGCCGCGCGCACGATGGACTCGTCGCTGTTCTCGTTGATGATGGTCTCGTCGAAGTCAAAGACCAGGAGGAACCGGGGCGGCCGGGCCCCGGCCATGCCGACACCCTGCGGGGCAGGAGCGTGCCCGCCGTTAGCGCGAGGCGCTTGGCACAGCCACGGTGGCACCGCAGCAGCGGGGTGCTGCCGGCCCTGCCATGCTCCTTGGCCAACTCAGCCCCTGCAGCTGGGCCCAGCGAGGCTCGGGGGGCGGGGGTTAATCCCTGCTGGCATCCCTCACCCCGGCCCTAAGGCCTTTATCCTGCCTATAAAGAGCTCATTTTGCCAGCGCTAATCCCGTTCCTGCAGTCAAGGGGTCACTGGGCCGAGCGAGCTCCGCATCCGTCCTCCCCCGGACACTTTGGGGTGGGTTTATCCCCAGAAGGGGTTTGTGTCCCTGCAGGACCAGTCTGGCTCTTCCCAACAGGAGAACACTTTACAAGCTGATTCTTGCTCCATCACCCGGGCACAGCTCCCTCCCCAGGTCGGGCTCTGCAGGCACCACAAAGCCTGGGGTCACTCGGAGCTTCCTCCCGCCCCGCTCTAACCCCCAAAGCGGACCTGGAGCCTCCCTCCTAAAGCCACCACGGCCCCTGCAGCACCTCCCGCTGCTCCCATGACCCCGACCGGAGACCTGCAGGATGGGGACCCCAATTCCTGCTCCCGAGAGGGGATGCTGCGGGTGCGCACGGCACTGACCTTAAAGAGGCATGGCAGCCCCACGCCCTCACAGCACCTTTTCATGGTAAGAGCATCACTCTGTGGGCAGCGTCTCGCTGAAGGCAGCGCTCAGGGCTCCTCCGCCTGCAAAGCACCAAGGACAGAGCGGGGTTGTTAATGGGTCCGGCACCAAATGGCACAGCCGGGTCCTGCAGCCAATTCCCAAACTCGGGACCTTTTGTCCCGGGAATGGAGGAATTAAAGGAGCCTCTGCAGAGCCCCTTTAATGCTTGTGAACCCTCTTAATTCCCCCGAGCACCCGGGCTTTGCTGCACGTGAGAGCGGGCATCGACCGCATCGACCCCAGCAGCACGCGCTCCGTTCCAGCGGTGCCCTGGGTTTTTCCCAGTAGGAATAGTTTGGGATGGGTTTTCAATGGCGGCCTCCTCCCGGCACGGAGCAGGCAGAGCAATCACCCCCTGGGACAGGGCTGACTTTAACTGGGCACCAGCAGCGCAGCTCGGCCGGGCTGGGAGCCTGCAGTGATTTGGCCGCCAGCACGCGGCAGCAGGGGGGGGTTTGCAGCCCAAGGTGCTCTGTGGGGGGCCTGGGCTGGATGGGAGCCCAGCACCAACCTATTTTGGGCACCAGCGCGACCCAGGACTGTGCTGGAAGCACAAACCACAGCCGCGATGAGAGCCCAGCTGGACGCCTGGGTCCTGAGGAGCCTCCCAACCAGACGCCAGGCATTGCTTTGTGGAAGCCCCCAGCAGAAGCCAAGGGCTGTTTGCAGGCATCATCTGAAGCCAAGGAATGCTCCATTTAGCCTGGGCGTGGGATCAGCCACCACAAATTGCAGGTCCAAAGGGAGAGAAACAGAAAAAGACCAAACATGAAAGAGGAATTGTCCTTTTGGTCTCTTTTGAGGCCCTAAAGAGCTGCCAGTGGTGAGAAAAGACCTTGGGTCGAAGCCTTAAGGAGGAGACTTTGTGCTACGGGGAATGGGCTCACTGATCCTGTGGGCACCACCGTGGGCACACGAAGGGACAACAGGGACCTGCATTGGGAAAGCTCTTTTTGGCCCAAGGTCCTTGCATTTTGCTCCAGTGGAAGATGCCCCTGCCCGTGCGGTGCTTGGAGCTGGATGAGCGCTGAGGTCCCTTCAACCCAAACCAGGCTGGGGCTCCATGGTTCTATATCAGAAGCTGGAGCAAAACCAGTTTGGTCTCTCCTGGCTCCCTCCTTGGTGAGCCCATCACCAACCTCAGCACAGGTCCCTGCAGCTCCCCAGGGCTCCTTTGCTCTTCCTAAAGCATCGTGAGCCCCAGCAGGGATAAATCCAACTGCTCCCAGTTGCTGCATTGGGCTCCTTGCCCTGGTGTCCTTGCAGCTGCATGGAGCCTGCTGTTTAGCTTCCCTTGGGGAGTTAGTGGGGAGGAAAGAGGCCCCTGGGCTGTTTTCTATGGGATTTCTAAGGAAAATGATAATCCATGAAGTCTGCTTGGACAATGCTGTTCCCATCCACCAGCGGGAGACCAGAGCATCCCACCATGCTCCTGCAAGAGCTGCCTTCTGCTCTCTGCCCTCAATTCACTGCATCCAAAGGTGCATTCCTTTTATGCAAAGGAGACATTAAAACCTAAACCAGAGTTATTTAGGGAATAAAGGCCCGGGATGGGATTTACCACCAGCCTCTGGGGGCTGTGGGGCAAGCGATGCCCTTTCCGTATGTGCTGTTTTCCCCTTAGGATACAGAAAAGGGAGATCCCAGCGTTGGGAATGACTTCATAAACCAGTGCTCACCAAGGACGAGCCCAGCTGGGGGACCTCAACCCCTGGCTCTGCCCCATGCAGGACTGGGAAGCCCCCAGTCCTCCGCGACTCCAATCCTGGCCCTGGGCACACCGGTAGCGCCGTGGGATGGCGCAATGGGCTCCACCCGGAGCAGGGAGAAGTGAATCCCATGGGGATCGTGGCACTGCTCCCAGCAGAGCTATTTCTGCACGGAGATGACTCACCCGGCGCCTGCTTCCCGGGAACGCGTCCGTCCAGCGTCCACAAAACAGGGACTCCCTCCAAGCCAAGGGAAAAGCGGCCGCGCTTCCGACCATGATGCAAAGCCTGGATGTTGGAACAGAAGAGGGGGATTTGCTCCCTAATCCCATCAAAGAGGAAAGGCTCCAACCGAGCCCAGGCTGAGGATCGGAACCCGCTGGGTAACAGCAAGGAGCTGCTGGGCTCAGCCCCAGCCCCCTGAGCTTTCCTCCAGCCTTCCCGGGGTCCTCCCGTCCCCAGCGGGCCCCGCAGTGCTCCCCACCCCCGTTATCGCTGCAGCCTCAAGCCTTGGGAGGGGTCAGGGCAGGACAAGCTGCGCGCAGAGGAGCGGTGCGGAGCTGCCCCCCCGCCCTCCGCCGTGCGCATGGGGATCAGCGCCCGCTCCCGGAGCCGGGAACTGCGGAGGGGACCCGGGGGCATTTCCCAGCCCCGGGGCTGGATTTTCTCACCCGCCAGACCCAGCTTTTGCCCGATTTTAACGTTTTTCACCCTAATTTCACCACTGACCTTTGGCAAACGCAAGTGCCCACCTCCCAGACCAGGATTAAGGGCAGACCAAGAGGATAAAGTCCTCCTGCTCGGGGGGTCTCAGCCAGCCCTGCCCGGTGCCACCGCACCCCTTCCCCTGCTCCGCGGCTCCTGCTTCACCCCAGCCCCAGGGAACGGGGACGGGGACGCGGTCCCGGGCACCCCGGGTTTACGGCGGCTGCTCCCGACTCGCAGCGTCACCGCAGCCCCCGGCGCCCTCTGCGCTGCCCCCAGCAGCCTCAAAACACGCGGGTTTCACCCCAAAACCGCTGCGGGTGCCGGGTTGAGGGAGTCCGAAACCGGATCCCCCGCTGCGGTGCCGGAGCCGCCGCCGCCGGGAGCTCGCACCCCGCGGCCTCGCGCCCTCCAGGGCACCGGAGCCGGCGCCAGCCCCGAGTGGCAGCGGCGGCTGCTCCGGTGCAGGCACCGGCGCGCTCCGGCCCCGCTCACGCTCGGCCGCTCCCCGGGCGCTCCGGTACCGGTGACAGCCGCAACGGGGGGGGACTCATGGCACGATCGCTGCCGGGAGGCACCTCCCGGTACCGGCTGTCCCGACCCGCGCACGGACCCTCCGGTACCGGCACCGTCCGCCCGCTCCCCGCAGGATCGGCACCTCCCGGTACCGGCCGCAGCGGATACCGGCACCTCCCGGAGCCCACACCCGGGGCACGGCTCCTCGGAGCCTCCCGCCAGGTCGGCGCCTCCCGGTACCGGCAGCGGCCGCCCCGGTGCCGCCTCGCACCGATGAACCCCCGGAGCCCCCTTACCGGGTTGGAACCGCCCCGGTGCCGGCGGGTGCGGAGGCGGCCGCAGCCCCTCGGCGGGTGCTCGGTGCGGTGCGGCGGGGCCGGCGCCGCTGCCGGGGCTGCCGCGAGCGCGGCCCCTTTAAGGCGACGCAAACGGAGCCCCGCGGAACAACCGCAGTCCGCACACGTCACAGCCCGCTCAGCCAATGGCAGCCGCACCCGCACGCACACAGGGGGCGGGGCCTGCCGGAGGCACTCCCTTTTCCCGCGGGCGGGGCCGCTCACTAAAGGGGCTCCCCCCCCCCCCCCCCCCCCAGCATCAGTAAAACCATCATTAAGAAACAATTTAACCGTTTTGGGGGGATTTTGCCCCAAAACAAGGGGGGGGGAGCAGCCCCCCGGCCATGCCCAAAACGGGCGGGGGGGGCACGGGCGCGCCCGCACCCCACGTCCTGCCCTGGGCTGCAGCGCGGCGGTGCCGCGGCACCGGGGGCTTTGCAGGAGCCCGCACAGCGCCGGTAACCGCACAGAGCCGCGCTTGTTCCGAGCCCGGCGGCAGGGAGGGGACGCGCCCGTCCGAGGCTGGGTTTTGCCCTGCCTTTAATTAGGGACGGTCGAGAATAGAAGGACGCAAATAAAAGGGCAAAGCTCTGCAAAAAGGCCGCGGTTTTGTGCCCGCCGCTGCTCCGGGGGCCGCCACGTCGCGCTCCAGCGGTAGCGCCCCAAGCTCTCCATGCCCCCCGGCTGGCACCGGTCAGAGCTCCGAGCGCTGCTGCGGCCAAACCGCTGCTATTCTGAGACCTTCAGCCTCGCCCTGCTGCTGAAGGACACCCTCCGCTATGTGCCAACAGCGGCAGCCTCCCCCAGCACCAACCCGGCTACCAGGGAACTGCTTTATCCCTCATGGAGCCGGAGGCATTCGCGGGGGTGAGGCAGAGCGCACCCCGCTTCCCCGGCAGTGTGGGCTATGATTGCCCTCCTTACGTGTTCCCCACCTCTGGAGCTAGGCCAGCCCCTGTTAACCCAGCAGCCGTGTTCAAACCGCAGCAGTGGGTACGCGGCCCTCAAAAGGGCAAATTCTCTGCTGCCTCCCATCTCCTTCCCCCTGAGGGGCAGTGGGGCAAAGATCGTTCCCGACCCATGGCAGACGGAGGAGCCTGGCGGGGAGCGATCCTCGTATCCCAGTGATTTTCCACTGTTAAGAACCGTGGAGAGCAAGTGAGGACAGCGCCTGCTGCATGGGCTGAGCCGGCTCCCTGCAGCCCCGGGACAGGCAGGCGGCCCTCGCCCGGCGCACGTTTCCCTTGGAGCGGGTCCCGTTTTCTCACCCCCGAGGTTGCATCAGCACCCATCAACCAGCGCTAAAGCCCGCAGCATCCACGTCCTGTGGCCCATCCCTCCCCTGCTTCACCTCCATCCTGCAGCGCACAGAGCAAGCTGGGTTATGGCTTACCCATGGAATCTGTGCCAGACCCCCTTGTGCCCATGGGCTCCGTGTAAAACCAAAGCTTTCCTTTACTATCCCTATGGCTCAGTCTCCAAGGCACATGGATAAAGGAACCATCAATTGCAGCCAGTCACTTCCTGCTGTCTCAACAGTGTTCTCTAATAAAGTGTCTTTTATAGCAACAGAGGTTTGGTGGTTGAATAATATTTATATGGTCAATATCAGGAAAACCTTAAAGAACTAACAAGCAAGACAACAGCGAGCTCCATTCACTTCATGGAACCTCCCTGCGTTCCTCCTGTTGACATGGGCTTTGGTTTTGTATTTAGCATTGAAAGTCACCAATAAGGACGCACCAGAGCAGTGGTTAGCTCACTGCCCATCAGCAGCCAATCTATTTTATATGTTCAGTTCTATATAACATGGAGAAAACAGGAAATGTAGGCAGCAAGACTGGGCTTTTCATCTGATGGGATGAGCTTCTGCTGAGCTGGCACAGGAGATGCCCAGGTAACACTGATCATCTCCACACAGGACACGCTGGCCACGCTCTCACCACCGTGCTGGTGAGCAGAGCAAGGTGATGCTCTCAGTACCTGCAGCTCTCCTAGAGCACGCTGCCCTCATCCTGCTGGAAATCCTATTCTCACCCATGGAAGCAAGTCCAATCTCAGCCTGCTTTGTCATAAACCAAGCCTAAAAAGCCTCCGACTCCCTGCCAGTCACCCAACATAACTGGCACGGATCAGCACAACGGGTTCTGAAGAGACTGACCGGAGTGACAAACGTCTCATCGCAGCCCCCAGTTGCTGAGTGCGTTTAGAAAACACTCGAGGACAAAACTGTGGGCTCTGTCTCAGTGCAATTCCTAAAGGAGCTCAGACAATTGAGCTGGCAAGAGCCATGAGGAGTCACTGCAACACGGACATAGTGCTCAGCGGCTCTCATTAGGGAAGCACTTCAGCAACGTGATCGCCTGAGGGACCAGGGCATTAGCAAGGAGTTAGGAACAAGCTGCACGCTGGAGATGTTTCCTACTTCAGTGAGTTACTTCGGATCCCAGCCTGGATACTGGCAGAGCAGAAGCTGCCTTCCTTCATCCACTTCATTTGCTGCCTGGAGAAGCAGGCAGCGATCAGCTCCACTGCCATCTCCTGGCTCCTCCTCCTCCCGCGGCTCCTCTGCAGGGCTCTCCTCAACAGAAAGGACACAGATTAAACTGCAGCTGCCTGGGGAACGATTTCTCTGCGGGATGGGAAAGCCAAGAGCTCCGGCAGCACCACAAGGTACCACGGCTTACACTGGTTTAAACTAAACTGCATTTCTCTTCTGTCAATCTACCATCAGTTTTGGGCAGAGCAGGCATAGCTGGATTACTGTCAGCAGCGAAAACACATCTAAACCGAGTTAATTACAATCCATGAGTCACTGCATAGTAAAATCCAGTTGTTTTCTGGTAGTAGCTTCAGTACCCACAGAACCCCAGCCAACTTTTCAGGCCAAGCAGGAATTTTCCTATGAATTAAGAACTCTAAAGACACGGTTTCTGCAAGAACCCAAACCCTGAGTCCAGGTAAAGCAGCATATTCTGACCTGCTCCCTGTTTCCTTGGTGATGGCTGATGAATCACATTCCATTACCACACAGAATGGACAGTTAGGGAACGTGCCTCCTTGGTGCTCTCCTTCTGCCCCTGGGATCTGGGCCAGTGGGCAGCTAAAGGCAAATCCAAGCTCGCTGGCCACATAGGATGCATCTCCTTGCAGCACCCTGCAGGAGCTGTGCTGTGGAAGGGAGGTGCAGGGATCCTGCTGGGATCACGGGAGCTGCCTAAGAACCAGAGCACAGTTAAGAAAGCCTACGTCCCGTTCAAGACCTTTGGACTGGGACCTAAGGCTTAACAGAAAGCTGATACCTTCATGCTTGGGCTGCTTGGAAGGAATCATTTTTCAGTCTGAACTAATTTTATGGATCATTATCCGAGGCCTCTCCAGCTGAAACTCTATGTCCTGTTCCCTGCTTTGCTCAAGCGATCACAAACACACTGTGAGCTGAGCAAGACTTCCCCGTTGTTATTTTATTGTGTCCCCAGCTTTTTGCCCGTAGGTAAGCAAAATACAACCACAAAGAGGCAACCGATTGTGATCTCCTTTATGATTACAGCCACCATCCACGCCTGAAAAACCTTAGAGAGGAAATGATGCAGAAGAGCTAAGAACCGAAAGGGGAAATGGTGATCCTGGGCTGGGGACAGTTGTCTGGGTCAGAAATAGCAGAGCACTGGTGCCCACTGTCACTCACTGGCATCGTGGCAGGCAGGTTCCACATCTGCACAACAGGGTTATTGACTCGCCTGACAGCCACACACTACATTTACTCAGCCTGGCTGCTCAAGTGACCACCACCGCGAGCCCTCAAGCAGCAAAGGTCTCCTTACAACCCTTCCTCCCAGTCTGACTCAAAGCTGATTGAGAAAGTTGGCTTCCTGCTAAAGGTGTGAAGCGATTCTCGCAGCCTGCGAGGTCCGGATGAAAGCACACCAGCATTTTATAGGGCGAGGACACAAACACCCCTTCAATTCAGTGCCTGCACTGAGCTCTTGGGGAAGAAGTAACTCGAACAGGCTGGAGTCCTGGTGGGAAAGCAAAACTGGAAATGGTTCTGTAATGTGCTGCAAGCTCTCAGCTCGGTGCATGGCTGCAGGGGTACCGTGCAGCTGCAAATGCAACACCAATCTGAACGAATACAGCACCGATCTGAACGAATACAGCACCAATCTGAATGATTACAGCACCGATCTGAACGAATACAGCACCGATCTGAACGAATACAGCACCGATCTGAACGAATACAGCACCGATCTGAACGAATACAGCACCGATCTGAATGATTACACCATCGATCTGAACGAATACAGCACCGATCTGAATGATTACAGCACCGATCTGAACGAATACAGCACTGATCTGAACGAATACAGCACCGATCTGAACGAATACAGCACTGATCTGAATGATTACACCACCGATCTGAACGAATACAGCACCAATGTGAACGAATACACCACCAATCTGAATGATTACACCACCAATGTGAACGAATACAGCACCGATCTGAACGAATACAGCACCGATCTGAATGATTACACCACCAGTGTGAACGAATACACCACCAATCTGAAGGAATACACCACCAATGTGAACGAATACAGCACCAATCTGAATGAATACACCACCAATCTGAAGGAATACATCACCAATCTGAACAAATACACCACCAATGTGAACAAATACACCACCAATCTGAATGATTACACCACCAATCTGAAGGATTACACCACCAATCTGAAGGAATACATCACCAATCTGAACAAATACACCACCAATGTGAACGAATACACCACCAATCTGAAGGAATACACCACCACACAGCCTTTAACTCCCATACGTGCAGCGCATGGCAGCAGCACACGAGTGGCTGAGGACAAAGTTGGGTTCCGCTATCAGCTGCCCCTTGGTTATTGTTCTCAGACTGCAGGCAGAGCTAAAGGTGAAACTGCAACCGGAGCTTGTAAAGAGGAAGAGCACTTGGCCACAACACACTCACCTTTGCTCAGGTCAAATGAGCAATAGGGACCGATCCCCACTGGCTTTTCTGTGCAGGGTTACTGGTGATGAGGGCTTCCAGCAGTTTGGCTGCTGCAGGTCTGTGCTGCAGCTTCCTCCTGACTTTAAATCCCTTCACTTCTTGCTACTATCATATCAGCTCTCATTAGGAACCAAAAGGCATTAAGAGGGGTTCAGAAAGGCAATTTCAGTTCCCTACGCGCCCATCCTTCCCCCTTCCTCCCATGCGTTACACAACTTCTCATGTAGGGAGAAATCCTTGCTATACATTTCTGAGAAACAAGCCTTGTTATGACTTTCATATGGAGCAACCACTCATTTCACAACCTCCCCATGGCACTCAAGAAGCTTCGCTAATGAGTTATTGCTGCATTAAACAGACCAAACCCAACAAACCAACCAACCCACCAAAACAGCCCCAAACAAACACAAACCCCAATCTGTCCACAACTGATCGGTTCAGTGCTGTACCAGAAAAGTCAATCCCACTTCCCTGAAAGGGATGGGGCATTTCCCCACCAGCTGTTAAGGCAAGACCCTACCTGGTCAATATACAGAATCCCAGCCTGGTTTGGGTTGAAGGGACCTTAAAGCTCCTCCAGCTCCAACCCCTGTCACGGGCAGGGACCCCTTCCACTAGAGCAGCTTGCTCCAAGCCCGTGTCCAACCTGGCCTTGAACACTGCCAGGGATGGGGCAGCCACGGCTTCTCTGGGCACCCTGTGCCAGCACCTCAGCACCCTCACAGGGAAGAGCTTCTGCCTAAGAGCTCATCTCAGTCTCCCCTCTGGCAGGTTAAAGCCATTCCCCTTGCCCTGTCCCTCCATCCCTTGTCCCAAGCCCCTCTCCAGCTTTCCTGCAGCCCCTTCAGGCACTGGAGCTGCTCTCAGGTCTCCCCTTCAGGAGCCTTCTCTTCTCCAGGCTGCCCCAGCCCAGCTCTCTCAGCCTGGCTCCATAGAAGTCACAAGGCTTCAGTGGCCCTTTGGGACACTGGACACCTCATTCAGGAATTCCATGTATTCCCATGGAAAGCCATCAACTCATCAGGGCTATTACAGATTCCTCCTCTGTGCAGAAGCAAGATTCAAAACAACTGAGGGGATGTTAGTGCTGCTGTGTAGGCCCATTAGAAGAAACAGGAATGACCCTGGGCACAGTTCTCCAAGGGGAAGATAATAATTAATAGAGCCCTTCCACAGGGGCCTTGTGGCCTGGTTCCACACTGTGCCCAGGGCCCGGGCAGGCTCTTCAGGAGAAGGAATCCAACCCAAAGCTGCGTTTCCTTTTGGGTGGAAAGTTCCACATCAGTTCTCGGTTCCAAACCGTGCGTTACAAAGTTCTGATGCGCAGCAAAGAGCCTGGGAGCACGGAGAATGAAGGTTACCAATGCACGCACGTACCACACACACCCACTGCAGGCTGACTCAGAGGGATCAGGGAGACAAAGGTGACAGAAGTATTTAGCAAACATCCAGAGCAGCTGTGTTCTTGGGGAGCCTCCTTTGGCTACATGCTCGTGTACCCGAGCGCGCGGTACAGAGATGCCCTGCCTTGCAAAACACATCCACTCTGCACATACATGCAGGCTATGACTCAGGACACAGGCAGCCATTCTCAATATTCCAAGACATTACATCAGAAGGTATTTGCCAATGCCAATCTGTAAAGGCAGGAATAGAGCAAGAAAGGAATAAATAAAGTCAATAAAATGTAGGGGCCATACACGCCAATTTAAAAGCAACCCAAACCTCCACCCCAAACCACTACAGCCCAGCCCGATCTTTACTCCACAGCTCATGCAACAGAGAACGTGGCCTTGGCCACAAAACACACTGGTTATTACTGAGATCAGAGGGAGCCCCTGTGAGCCACGACCACTGCTCAGGCATTAAAACAAACTGGAACAGGTTAAGGCAGGCAGAAACTATCCTGCTGGGTCAGAAAGCAGCCATGAAGTTCATGCAGTTCTCAGTCCTTGGTCGGAGTTAGATCAGAGGCTGAAAACCTGCAAATTTCCTTGTTGCTGCCAGGGTAAAATTCTTACTGAGGACACATGTGGAGCCAAAAGAGGACTTTTCTCCTAGCATCCATAGGAGATGCAAAGGCTTGCCTTTATTTAAGGATGGTTTTAATTCTTCTGCCACGTCTCCAAGTCTTGGAAGTGCTCAAGGCCAGGTTGGACAGGGCTTGGAGAAACTTCTGCTTAGATCTAACCTGAACTTCCCCTGTCTGAGTTTGAACCCATCACCCCTTGTCCTGTCGTTACAGTCCCTGCTGAAGAGGTGCAGTTGGCATCACTCATCTTTGCTCTTCTTGAGGGAAGTGTTTTAACACCACAAAGCAACCCCATTAACTACTCAATACGGACAAGCTGATACAAACCATCACACTTGGTTTGTGAGCAGGAGCAGAAAGTCATGAACACACTGGAACAGGCTCCATAGCGCTGCACAAACTGCAGGAGCTGTGCAGAGCAATGCACACCTAAGCAGAAGCCACAGCAAATCTCATCCTTGAATTTCCTCTGCCTTTTGGAACGCCCGTTTTCCTTTTCCTGCTGGAATATGGACTTTCTCAGCTATCACACTGCAACGCTTTTAGCCCAGCTCTTGGTACTTGTCCCAGATACTGAGGAGAATCGGTTGACATCAGGTCACACCCTGACAGACTATTAAATGGGCTCAACAGTTTAACCTTCTTCCACAGAAAGGAAGTTGGGAAGTCTCGGAAGGAAAAAGAAATACAAAGTGCATCATTGCTGCGAACTAAATAACAGAACAAAACTGTCCCAGATTTTGGAATTCCAAATAGCAGCCTAATACTGGAAATTTATTGAGAAGAAAAATCATTTTGCAAAACTGGAATACAATCCATTTACCGAGGCTATTATTATTATTATTTCCTGGTTTAGCATTTGAAAATCAGTTCATAACAGGCCTGACCAGAAAAGAGTGGCACGACAGAAACGTAGGTTGCAAAGGTGACGTGGAATGCATAGAACCTCCGGGGCGGACCAGCCACAGCAATTACAACAGTCAGCATCATCATGAGTGGGAATTCAGTTCCATAACTGGCTTTTGCTTTTAGAAGGTAGAGGGTGCATATAAATATGATAGAGAAAACACGTAAAAAACCATTGCTTTATTATTCAGGGGGTTCAGCTCAGTCAAAACTGAGGAGGTTTTCTGGGCACAAATTGCCCTTTCTATGTCCTAAACTTTCCTATGCTTGTTATGAAAGACCCCACCATGAATGGGGTAAGGTGGTAAAAAACAGTGAAGACCAGAACATCACCCAAGGAGCTCATTCTCAACAGAGGACCTGGTGGTTCAAAACACTTCAAAGTGTTAACTGGGAGGAAGTAACCCCAGGAAGAATCCCATCAGCCACAAACCCCCGCTTCATTAGCAAGCAGACATCTGGCCTATGAGGATCTCTGGATGCAGTTTGGTGGGATTTAATTCAAAAAGCAGCACGGAAAAGTAGGAATTTTAAGGAAAAGAGGACTTACAGTACATTGCCTTGGGCCTCTGTCATCAGTGAAGGTGGCAACAAGTTCCTAGATTGCATAATGCTGCTATATTTAGTTTTAGTTGAAGAGAAATACAAACCTGAAAAAATAACAGCTACTCACTGGTTAAAACAGAGACATTTGGCATTCCAGCCCACCAGCCCTGCACTAAACCTGCCATTCCCCCCTCACTGCCTCCTGGGATTATGAAACAGTGACATGCCTACAATTCAAGTTTCCTATCCTACAACTGGAAAACTTAGCTTTGCCATAAGTATGACTATGACCCCTAGAAATCATCCCATCTTTTTATGCACATTACGTTTATGGGATAGAGCTGCCCATGGTACATACAGCGCTATCAGCATTTCCTCAGTGCAACTGAAACACCATCGTCTCATTCAAACTTCTCTTCTCTTACAGTCAAGCAGTCAGAAACACCCCATTTCATGATCTCCCTTCATTCCCCTCTCCTAACAACTCCAGGAATTCCAAGAGGCAATCTGAAGAGCAGCACTGGATGTGATCCCCAACTTCAAATCATACCATGAAAAGCCACTAAACCCAGCTCTCCTCGAGAGAAAAGATGCTTGGCTGATTTGAGGTACTCGATGTCCTCTCTGCTGTCCCATCTCCCATTCTCCTGTGACTCTCTATTCCTAAAGCAGCGGGTTCCTATGTGTAAGGGGCTCCTTTTCTAACCCATCCATACCTCCCAAGAAAACCTGTGCGGTGGGAATGTGGTATCCCAATGTCCTTGTCCAAAACTGTGAAAAGGGAAACATAAGGTTTTAAAAGGAATAAAACAAGCCCTACTAAAATAAATTAAAGTCCTTAAATCACCATCACTTCGGAGACAACCTTTCCAGAGACCTCTTGGGCTCCTTTCTTCTCTGCAGCACCGTTTAAGTTGTATGGTTGTAAGAATAACTTTAACTCTAGAAGCTTTATGCATCTTTTTAAGAATCACATTTTGATGATTATAAAAATTTATCTATTATACAACATAGGTCCAGCTACACTGAAAAAATTACACCGCTTATTGAAATACATTTCATTTTAGAAACAGACTACTAAATAGGTCTATACAAAAACCTCTAAAATAATTTCTGTAGTAAAATAAAGAGTGTGTTAGGAGAGCTACACAAACAAGACATTTCTGTGTCTTTCTTTATAATGCTCAAATATACCGTGATACGTGGCTGGCTCACTCCATAGCCGGCCCCAAAAGCTGAAAAGAATCCATTACGATACACAGTGATACAATTAATGCTCTGTATTAATCTCACAGCCTTTCCGATTAGTACAAAGGAAAACCAGGCCTGTCTCCTCTTTGAGGAGAAGGCCAGGCTATAAAAGCAAGCATACCTCATCAGCTGATATGAAATTAGAAAATCCCACAAGTCTCAGTATCTGAAATGTAGAAAAGTCACCAGCAAAACGCAAGCAAATGGGGTTGAAGTCCTGTTGGGTCCCAGGTTCAGAGGAGCACTGCTGATCCGAAACAGGATTTCCTCGGTTGGGAACTGATTCAAGGGGTAGAATCGGGACCTTGTGCTGGGGCGAAGGGAAAGACGAGGATCCTCACCAACCAACCCTCTTGGACTGCCAGGAGGGCAGGTTTCCATGTGCATAAATGGGAAAGAGCTGGCAGGGAGCAGAGACGTTAGTGGTGCTGTGCTGAACTGTTCTTTTCTGCCAGGTGTCGCAGAAAGCTGTCCTCACTCTGGCCTCTGTGGTTTAAAGGCTCACTCTTAAAAAGAGCTGGAGGAGGGGGTAAATGAGGGACTGGGGGCACCGGGAGGTGATGTGGATGGTGAGGATGAGGATGTAGGTGAAGGTGTGAATACGGGTGGGGAATGGGGCGCGGAGGCAGCGTGCTGACTGGGTTCAGGTTGATGGGTGGCGCTGGGCCGGTGGGCGCGTTCACTACAGCAGGGACCGTGGTGGCAGAAGTGGTGGAGAGCGGGATCGGGACAGCAGCTGACACGTTGACGGGGCTGGTGACACGGAAGCACTTCTCCTTGTGTGCCTTGAGCATGTTGGAGAAGCGAAATCGCTGGCCGCACACGTCACACGGGTAGGGCTTCTCCCCTGTGTGAGTCCTGCGGTGCCTCTTCATGTTTGGGCGGCTGGTGAAGCTCTTGCCACAGATTTCACAGATAAAGGGCTTCTCTCCTGCAAGCAGAGCCAGCAATCAGTGAGGCACAGAACATCTGCTAACCCTTACACTTCAGCACCTCTATGCAAACAAACTGCAGCCTACAAAGGCTACTGTGACTGCTGCCTTCAGCAAACAGACACAGCTGCTCCACAGCAGCCCTCGGTCTTCATGAAATCCTCTCTCACATTCAGATTTTGATGCATGACAATCTTCTACAAGGCTTTGGCAAGGGGCTCCTTCAGACCACAGTAAGAAGGAAGTAAGCCTAAGCTCTCATTTTCCCCCACACTGAATCACAGGACTACAGATCTAACAGTGAGATAATGTATGGACCTCTCCTCTCTGTTTTTCTAGGTTGGAGAGCAGTTTTGGTCCCATATTCCAAGCCAGGGAATACAACTGGAAGTACAGGCAAGTTCCTGTCCTGGAGGTACTCGTGCTTTTCCTCGATTAGTTCTTACCAGTGTGTGTTTTCATGTGCTCATCAAAGTACTGTTTCATGTTGAAGTCTTTGCCACACCACTGGCACATGAACTGTTTGTGCCCAATGTGGATGCTCATGTGCGAACGCAGCTGGTACTTGTACTGAAACCTCTCATCACAGTTCTGCAACAGAAAAACAGCAACCCGTGATGCTCAGGCATCACACAGCAGGAAGCAAGGCAGCACTTTGAACTGACTACGGTAAGGAGTCAAGCATACCTGAACTAGTACACACAGAGACCCTGGGTTTAAATGACACAGCCAGTAGAGTTTGGGCTGTGCTAAGAGGTCTGCTGGCACAGGAGCCTTGGCAAGGAGCGTGGAACAGTCACAACCTTTAGCTGACACAGCTGCTGGCAGCAGAGACAGGGTTATGGCAACAGCAAAGTGCTTCTGTTGGCTTAAGATGTCATTTGGAGGTTTTGCTGGACTACAGCAAGCCTCCACTAGAGGACTCTGCTCACCCAGCAGTGCCAACAGCAGCTTTACGGGTCTGGCTTTTACAGCTATTGTTTATTGCTAGGAGGGAAGTCCATTCCTAAGGAGTCTTATTCCCAAGACTACCATGGCTGCACAACCACCACTAGTACTCGGTGTCTGGCTGGAGCTGTGCCTCATCTGACGGGCAGAGTGAGCCACCAGACCTGCTCTGGAAAGAGGAAGGGCTCTGCACCCCCTGCCTCCACCATGTGATTACCCACAAGCATCCCCATCAGGTGACTGAGACATTATCTACCCCAGACACATGACTGGGTTAGTCTGCCCCATTGGGTCTCCTTCCCCAGGCCAGGCATAAAATGGCAATGGCAAAGGTCTGTGAGTGCAGCCGGGAGAGACCTTCCCTCATCCCAGCACACGCCTGGTGTAAGAGATGCAAACTCACAGAGTCCCCGATCCCAAGGAGGTCGAGGTCACCCTTTGCAGTGTTTCCCACAAGTGAAAATCCAGCAGTGATTTGGTTTTTCACTGCCATCTGCTTCAAGTAAGCAGGCAGGACAGGAAGGATTAATGGCATTTGCATTAGGCTTTGCTATGAACACTGAGGGAAGAGTGGGATTCAAATCCTGCTGTAGCGGGTACTCATTGAGTTAAAACATGAGAGCCAGCAGTTAGAACAAACCACAGGCACCCCACATTGAACGGCTGCATCTGAGCTGTGCTCCCCACAGAGTCTGCCCAGATTTTAATGGAACGACACCTCAGTTACAAGGCAATTCAGTTTCCACCTACTGACAGGGTTACTAAGTTTACACCTTCCTGCTACCGTTATCTCCATGTATTACCAGTTGCTGCCTCACCTCACATCTGAAAGGTTTCTCTCCAGAATGCTGTAGGGAATGTACTTTGAGAGACATGCTGCGTTTGAATGATTTCCCACAGGTTTCACATGTAAATGGCATGTCCTTTGTGTGTGCTGCAACACAACAGTACATTAGAGAGGGTCATTCCAATGCAATCTTTTCTCGAACCAGTTGTTTTCCTCCAACTTCTGAACAGCTTAGAGCTACATACACATAGACACACACAGGTTTTGCCTGCTGCCCAGAACTACAGACTTGAACTTGCTAAGGATAAAGCTCAGACAACTGAAGTTACTGTATTTCTCCACAAAACAGCAATTAGGAGTTAAGAACCACAAGGAGTGATGGGTTCAAACTGAACGAGGGGAAGTTCAGGTTGGATATAAGGCACAAGCTCTTCCCTGTGAGGGTGCTGAGGCGCTGGCACAGGGCGCCCAGAGAAGCTGTGGCTGCCCCATCCCTGACAGTGCTCAAGGCCAGGTTGGACACAGGGGCTTGGAGCAAGCTGCCCCACTGGAAGGTGTCCCTGCCCACTGCAAGGGATTGGAACTGGATGATCTTAAGGTCTTTTCCAACCCAAACCATTCTATGCTTATGAGGCAGAACGAGCAGAAGCACTGATCAATAACTCACCAACCATATGTTTCCGCACGTGGGCCATGGTGTAGAACTTCTTTTCACAGATCTCACAAGAGAATTTCTTTTCTGCATATCCGTGGACAATCTTGATGTGTTCATGGAGGGACCAGAGCTTCTTGAATGATTTATTACAGGAAACGCACTGAATGAATGGGATAAATAGAAGGAATTCTCCATTAGATTCAGTAATTCAAGTCAGTGGAGTTAAGCCATGGATCTTCCTCTTGCATGATAAAAAGAAGCCCAAACCAAGTCAAAAGGCTGTGTACTGTCTCAGATTAAGCCTACATTGATTGTTTCAGACTTGAAACAATTACAGTAAGAAAAGCCAGCTTGAGCAGGACTGGAGAGGAAGGTAACACACTGCATGGTGGTGCCACTACACAGAGCACTACAGCCACCGCACGAGCTTATTTCCCCAGCACAACAGCACATCCAGCTGGATCAGCCCTCAAGGAGCTAACACAGAGAAGACAACTTCACAGGCACTGATGCTGCTGGCTCGGGAGCAAGCCCAACCCCTGGTGTGGGGAGAAGCCAACAGAGATGGAGGAGGCCACCGCCACCACCACCACCAGGCCTTTAAAACCCATCTGCACGTCCAGCTCTGTCTTTCACAGGAGCACTGTGACCCCCTCCAACACTCAACACTCCTCAGAGCTCTCTCATCTCCTTTTAGCTCTGGACAGAAGGCAGCTTCCCTCTTGCAGCTCTTGACCATGTGGAGAGCATGACACAAAGCAAGTTGTCACCTCCATCTGTGGTGTTCTGACTCTTCATTTATACGGATCAGCAGCACTATAGGTCTAAAATGACAATATGCAAACAATGCTTGAATCTCTTCTCTGTGGTATGTCCAGAAAGTCAGCAATGAGCAGGATCCATGGACTCTCACACGTCTCTTTTTCCCCTAATAGCTGGTTCTTGCTAAAGACTTGACAAAAAAAGTCCTTGTAGCAGCCTGAGCACTCCAGCATACCCGAGCTGTAAAGCTTGACAGCAGACACACGTGAGGACACGGAGGCATCTTCATCTTTGACGTGAAGAGAAAGGAACTGCAGCTTGTTATTTTCTGTTGGGTGTTGGGGGGTTTGGTGCATCTCTGGTTTTCTGCCTCCCTGTGACCCTCCTTCCCTCCAGACAAGGACAGCTGCCTGCTGCTCACTGCTGGGCCTTCTGACATCTCGAGCTGCTGCTTCCCTGCACAGCCACGTTCCGCTGCTTCTACAGGGCTTCAATCTCAGCAGGGAAACCCTGGTACCCCACTCACCGTGCTGACACCAAGGGGACACTCTGCATCTGAAAGTACCTACGTGGAGGCATGTGAGGACCAAACTGTAGCCCTTGGAGGGGGGGAAAGAAACCCTGGAGAGTAAAGAAATGCTCAAAAAGCTTTGATTTAAGGTAAGCAAACCCCTGGATTGGTCAGTCTACATTTAATTGATGGTCAGCAGCAAGTACTGTAGAATACTGAGTTACTACAGAGAGAGGCTGAGGTGACAACAGAAATTCTGTGAAGGTGCTCATTTTAAAAGGATGAAACCCAGAAATTACCTGAAAAAATGGATATATCCCCGCACTTAGGTGAAAAACACAGAGAGGAGCCACTCAAGTTCTTATCAGTTCAATTACCACTCCCATAATGAAACCATTTCTTTCTCCTAGGCAAAGCTCCATATCCCCCTTGACACATTAAACCCTGTATTAACGTTAACATGTTCATATCCTATCCCCTTACTCCTCTTGCCACGTGCGATAAAACCAAACGAGCAGGCAGCTGGGAACCACATTCCAAATGTCAGGAGAGACAGAAAGAATTGCTGAATACACGCCTACAGTGGGAACTTGAAGACCAGCAGTGCTTCAGATTCCCAGATACTGGAAGTATTTGGGAAGGTTTCTAGAACTGATTCTGCTTGTATTGGGTACAACTGCTACCATTTCTTCTTTCCCTATCACTTTGGGGCACAGGACCGGAACCCCTCAGCAGCATGTGTGTGCATGGATTACAGGCTCCTTCTCCATTCTATGCCCCATGTTCCAAATATTCCTGAATTCCTGCTTCATGTCTAAAGAGTGTTATGCTGTGAAAGAGCCACCTGGATGATGGGGCACTGCTGCAATCTGCATTTCAATGTCCTCTGCACTAAACTTGTGCGGTATTCAGCTCAAAACCTGCAAGGACACGCGGCAATGTTGATGTGTTTTGCTAACTAGGCTCAAGACTCAGTATCTTATATTCTACTCCTTCCTTCAGTCTTCCTCCTCTGAGCTGAAACATAAGGAAGAACAGCACAATGTTACACAGAGCTGTGTTTGAGTCTTACAGCAAAGAGAAATCACGGCAGACACTTCAGCCGTCTCCCGCACAGTGGGACTGGAATCCCAATTCAGTGCAGCATTTAAACAAACAAGCAAAATCTTAAATCTTGCTGCTAAAACTCACTGGGCAGACAAAGAACTCGCCAAAGCCCTACGAACTCTCAGCATTTCAGCTGCACAAAAGCTGAGCTCCATGCTGGCAGTGGGATCACTTCAGAAGGAGATGGCAATGCTGTGCCGAGCTTAACAAGGCAAAGCAAGCACGTTTGAATCAGCAGCTACAACAACAGTGCCCCCAGTTACATGAGAACACAGATGCCTGTGAGCAAAGCACAAACCACAGATGAATCAGAAACTCTGGAGCTCTTTCCACAACTTAGGACTTTAAAATGGTTCTCTTACAACACAGGCTGCCATTGTTGGATCCAATTAAAAGCTGCAAAGCTTCGGGTGACAAAGACCAGAGATCTTTATATTATCAGCGAGATTTACTGAGCTTTTTTACACTGGGAAAAGGCCATTAGCAGACTGAGTCACAGCATTCATGCACTGCCAAATGCATACATGAACACCTACTGTCAGTTACCTGTGGGCACCTGGCTCAGTAGCATTTTCATTTGAACACCAGTTCCCATCCCGACTTCCCCAGGTTCTTTCTCACCTGCTTGCCTCTCAGGTATGTCACACAATTCCAATTCCGAGACCAGCAATGTGCCAGAATTCCACTCTCCCTTTGAAATCTTACCTGGCCATGCTCTGTGACTGATTTCAGGATACTGAAACACTGTGCACATTAAAGCTAGCGATAGGTGCAGGTGCTCAGCACCTGAAGGAGGAGGGTTTATCCTGCCAAAGGACTTGACTGCAAACGCACTTGTTTCTTGAGTCTGACATTAGCAGCTTTGTGTTTTCCCCAACTTGTGGTTAAAGACTACAGTAACTCTGCTGCACCAGATGGCAGCTGGACACTCTGTTCCCTGCCATCTACTTCCTTTGGAAAACACCAAAGTGCTGATACGTAGAGACAAGGTCTCGGTCAGAACCTGGGCTGCGCAAAAGATTTCCCCCTCTGAAGTGTCCACTAGCTTGTATCCAGGGCACGACAGAAGGTTTGGAAATCTGGCAAGCAGGTGAGCAAACCTACCTGGATGTTTTTTTCACAGTCTGTTTGCTGGTGAAGGGACAGCTCACTTTCTAGCACAAATTTCTTCCCACATTTGTCGCAGATCTGCATGCGCCTGTGAGTGACGTTCATGTGCTTCTCCAGGTACCAGCGTGTGTTAAACACCCTGGGGCACTTCTCACAGGTTAAAGTCTCCTTCTCTTCACACTTTGATTTCTGCACAGGTGCCTTGGGCTCCTTTGCAGCTTTCTTCTTACGCCTGGGGTGCTCCACACTCTTTCTACGACCCCTTGTAGGTCTGGGTGATGGGGAAGTTGTGGCTGCTGCAGCAGATGCAGCTCTCCTTGTTCTCCTTTGGGCAACACTAACTTTTTCCACTCTTTTCTCTTTTTTCTTCTGCCTCTCATTTTCCTCATAATCATTACTGTCTTCAGTGGCCTCTTCCTCACTGTCACCCTCCTCTTCCTCACTGCTGGTCTTAAGAACAGCAGTCTCTTTGGACTGGGAGGGGACACCCTTCTCCCCTTTTGATACATTTAATGTTTGGTTGTTAAGGTTTACCTCTACTATAATCTGCTCCCTTTTGTAAGTCACTTCATCTTCCTCCTCTTCTTCCTCCTCAGAGTCCTCAGAGTTTTCTCTATCTTCTTTCACAGCCCGGACCTCTCCTACCGTTCTGTTCTCCCTGAAATATGGCTGCTCCTCTCTTTCATGGAGATGTGGTTTACTCATTTTGGTGTCCACCAACACAGAGTAAGGACTTCCTGACTCTCTCTTGTACACTTTGGTGGACAGATCGAGTTCCTGGCTGGCACCATGATAGAAGGGAGGTGGCACCTGACCACGGCGACTGTCCTCTTGCGCCATCCCTGCTACATGCGCCGCACAGTTTTCAACCAACTGTTGGCATGAATTGGCTGTTTGACTCATTTGGGGGGCCCTGATTCATTGAGCACCTTTAATCCCAGAAAAACCAAGGAAGCAGCCTGAAATCAGGATGGACTCTCGAGACCGCCGCCTCTTCCATCTACACAGAATGAACACAATAGGATTCTCTGCTGGTGTTGAGTGCAGATGTGTAGGTCACAGGATTCTGGTATTATGGCAAGAGCAGAGCAGCAGTAATTATTCTTCTGGAGAAAGTTGCCAAGGAACCGTTGACCATTGTATCTAGAAAAGACAACAGAGAAGACAAAGTCAATTAACAATTCAGCCCTAAAATCACCAGCTAATTGCTCTGAGCTTGCAAAACTGGGGTACGACACAGGGTATAGCATCTGTGAGCTGCACCTGCTGGGGATGGCCTGGCCTATAGCACTGTCTCGAGCAAACCTGGTGGCTTTAGGTACAAACAAGTGCACCTTTTGTGGGGACCAGAAGTGCTGCTGTACTCCTGGGATATGGAACTCAAGGCAATGACTGTTGTGCACCACCCCCTGCCTCAAGGCTGAAGCAAGATGCTCATCTGAGCTCCTCCCAGACCCTCAGGAGCACAGGCAGTCCCACTCTACTCCTACAAGCCTCCCTATCAAACCAGGTGCACACCTCCACAGAAACACCTCTTCTCCTGCTGTATCTCCCAAAGGGAGCCCATCCTTCCCCAGGCAGAGGACACGTTCCACTGAACAACATTCCATTAACGCAGATATGCATGGAGGATTTCAATGGAGCCATTTTCAGCTCACAGCACTAAATCACATGAAGAACACCGTGTCCCCTGCTCCTTTCCACCTCAGAGATCCCTCATGCAGCCACTTGATTTAAAGCACTTATTCTTTTGTCTCCTTCTCCCTTCCCCCAGCCACTTATTCCCCAGTGCAGGAGCCACACAATATGACACTTGCCCATCTAAATTCCACATGCAGTTATCCAAGTTGGAATTTGATCAGGACACTGTTACTTCCTCTTGTGAAGGCCGCCACGTGATGCCCACTGACCACAAGTGATCAATCTCTCCCATCTGTTTCTCACCGGGGCAGTTGCACTTTGGGAGCGCAGCGCTGCAGCAGCAAGCCAAGATGCGGGCTGTGCTGCTCAGATCAGAAACGCCAGTCCTGCCTAAACACTCTGGGCTCTAAACCTGGGACTAGAGGATGCACAAGAGGAGAATCAAGGACAGAGCCTATGGGACACCCCTTGACTAAAGGGCAGAGAAGGGCCCTAACACAGAAAGTGGTGGATTGAGCAGCTGAATACAAACAAAACTGGAATCTCACTACTGGAATCTGATCAATTCCTGGAGGCTAAGCCCAGCAGGCAGGTATAAACCACTTGGATTGCACAGAATCACAGGGCTGTTTGTATTATTGCTATTCTTGGAGCAACAATGAACAGCCACTAACATAAAGCAGTCTCACAGATACGGGTTTTTAGGATAAACCTCCTTCCACATCATACTGAGTTAAAATACCCTTCATGGGGCAAATGCCCTAATTTCCATCCAAATATGTTTTGATACAATTTATATATTCTAAGGGAATTATATATAATTTTTTTTTTATATATATATACATATAACTATATATATTTAAAGGGGGGAAAGTCCAGCATTTCCCCCCTTTAAAGTGAATGCAACTGAACAGGAGATGAACCTACCAATGGTCTTGGTGGTTTGGATGATAAAGCCTGAACTGTGCCCTCCAGCTCTTTGTGAAGTGCCACGCTGGGGAAAGCAGCAGCCCAATGTCCGCACGCCTGATCAGCAGCTTCAAAGTTCACTACATCACATTCGGGAATGGCTTTCCAGGCTTCCCAGATGCACTCAGAAAGGGCCCTGAGGATGCCAGACAGTGACTGGCAGCACCACAACAGCAGCGTCTATTCCCGCTGCTGTGCTCTCCCTCCAGGGTCTTGGGAGCTTCCGAGCTCCAGAGGTGAGGCAGGAAGAAGCCAAGACCCAGCTGAGCCAGGAAATACGTGGAGATGGGCTGTTACCATTGGCTTGGGATCACAAGTGATATCCCAGTGGGAAAACTAGTAAATAATAAACTAAACCGGTTGTGATTGCAAGCCAGCATTAACAACCCCCAAGCCAGGAAGGCCCTTGGAAAGCAGTGGGCATGAGGAAATCCAGGTTAGCCTTTCCCTTAAAACTCCATGCATTATTCAGCAGCTCAGAAATATCCCTGTGCCATGAAGAAAACGATACCTGATTATTTCCTCAGCACATCAAGCATCACTCTCGAGCTGCAGGAGTCAATCAGGAAAGGCTGCTGCCAGAGAGCCAGGAAAAGCACAAAAACTGGCATGAAAAGGAACTTTTACCTTCACCCCCGTCTCCTCCATGGCAAAATACCTTCTTCCCGTGCCCTGCCATCATTTCACCCCTGCTCAGCTCACGAACACTCTGTGTAACCAACCCCTCTGCACAAGCACGGTCCCACTTCAAATGGAGAACAACAAAAGGGATTCTTCGGAGTTATCAAAGCTGTTTGGCCTCAAAACCACTTCACTCTGCAGCACCAGTAACCTACTTTCACTCTGAAAGCACCGCGGGCCACCCCCAAGGGACCTGCAGCTTTCAAACAACAGGAGTTAACAGCTGGTAAAGCAAAGCCCTCCTTAGCCATGGAATACATGCAGCACGCATGGATTTGCTGGTGGTTCCCAGGCAGCTCTGCCCCAAACACTGGCATGGGTTATTTTGGGCAGTTTCTCATCCCACATGGAAGACGCAGCATTTGGATGCTTTCATTTCTGCTTGGTTTTTAAAGGTGAATCTGCCTTTTTCAAAGCTGCTGGATGGCCGGAGCTCACACAATGAATTCCAGCCCCACAACTAAAGGGAGCAATGCAGGTTGTGGTTAAAACAGGAAAAGATACGCCGTTTAAAAGCGCTCTTTGAAGCTTACCTAAGACCTGAACCTGAGGAGTAACTGTATTAGGGGCAGAGAATGAGCTTGTGAGCTACACCCAACGCTAACCAAAGGTCATACAAGGAAGTCCTGCAAGCCTACAGGCTGAGGACATTGGGGCTGCTCAGCATGCAGAAGAGAAGCTGCGTGGAGACCTCAGAGCAGCTTCCAGTGTCTGAAGGGGGCTGCAAGGATGCTGCAGAGGGACTGGAGCCACAGGACAAGGGGTGATGGGTTCAGACTGAACCAGGGGAAGTTCAGGTTAGATCTAAGGCAGAAGCTCTTCCCTGTGAGGGTGCTGAGGCGCTGGCACAGGGTGCCCAGAGAAGCTGTGGCTGCCCCATCCCTGGCAGTGTTCAAGGCCAGGTTGGACACAGGGGCTTGGAGCAAGCTGCTCCAGTGGAAGGTGTCCCTGCCTGTGGCAGGGGTTAGAACTGGAGGAGCTTTAAGGTCTTTTCCAACCCAAACAGTCTGGGATCCTATGAAACATTATAGGCTTCAACCCAGAGAAAAAAGTACAACCAACTTGCAGACAGATGTGTAGGTGGAGGAAGCACGTATATGTGGGAGCAACACTGCATGCGATGCTTGTGCTGCTTCTAAAGAAAAACCACATTTCTTCACATTATCTGTCCTAAAAATAGACCCATTTGTAGCAGAGAGCACGGAGTGCAATTACCTGCCCCAACTCTGACTCAGGAGATGCCCTGAAATCACACACAGCAAGTGTGATGCACTCAGAGGTTAATGACTTGGAATTCCATGTCCTCACCTGGCCCCCAGAGAGGGGCTGGCTGCCTGGCCTTTACACCTAACCTGGGCCAAGGCCAGAGGATTTGGGTAAACACTGAGGCAGACACTGATGTACAGGATAAAAGCAGCTTCTCCCCGCTTTGGTACCCAGTGGAGTGCTTGCACAGCCATGTCTGCACCCCAAGGCTCCCTGTGAGCCACCGAGCCCAGCATAGCCTACACATGGTCACCAAACCACTCACTGGGTGGTGCTGGTGGCTCCATGCAAGGGCAGAAGCAGCACCTGGGGACATTGGCCTGATGTCTGATTTCTTATCTGAAACCATCTGAATTGCTGCCTATACAAAAGTTATCAACATTAGCTCTGAAGATGGTCAGACTCTGGTCTAATCCACTCTGCTGTAGGTTGGCAAGTACAGAAGCATTGCAGGCACAAGGGTGATCTGTCTGCGGACACAAAGACAGCTCTGTATGGATTTATTCCTTAGTTAACATCTGGAAGTTCTCCTGCTCTTCCCAGATAGCCATAACCACCAGAAAATTCCTTCAAAAACGCCCATGCTTCAGTTCACACATCAGTGGCATTTGCTTGGGTTTTACACACACCATAAGGAAAAGAGAGGAGGAAGGGCAAGAACTTGGGGCCTTCCTGCAGCTCACATACGTACATGAAAAGTATTATGAGAGAATAGACTGCAGTAGTCAATATCCAACACTAAAACTGCATTAACTTATGACCCATCCATTATTTTCCTGCTCTGTTCTAACAGAGCCTTCCAAGCCAGGCACAGGATAGAACCGTTTGGTTCTATTTACCAGCCTCTTGGACTAGATTTCGCTCCCATCCTGGTATAGTCAGAAGTGCTCTCAACCTTAATAAACCTCACAAGGCATCTAGACAAACTTAGGTCTCCAAAAGGCTACAGCGTGTGTGGATCTGAGCCACAGCCAATACTGCAGTGCTGAAACACCATCACAAGCATCCCAACATATTGGAGGCTTCCTTCACAACACAAGACCGGTAGCTTCACACCAGACTTCCCCTCTTAAGAGCCCACAAATCTCCCTTTAAAGCAGCTTTTACATGGATACGAGAGGCACTGCAAGGAATGGACAGATTTTGCCACTCTGTCATGTAGGTGCATTGCCCACTATACATAAATCCAAGTTAATCGTTCATGGATTGACTGAAGATGCTCCAAACATCTTGAAATGCTCTTTTCCATAAAACAAGACTACAGTTAGGAAAAGAAAAGCCTTAGAACTGCTGTAGTTAAAGGCAATGACATTCTGCATATGTATGAACAACCTGAAGCTCTGAAGGATCCTGAATACCTTTTGGTTGGAAGCTGCAATCCAGCAGCTCCATTATGTCCTGGGGCAACCAGATTTGCCCACAGTTTAAAAGGGGTGAAGCCCCATGTGCATACAGCAACAATCTACATTAGTTAAGATAATGCACCAGTTACTAACGAGCCAAGTAGCTCTGAAGAAGCTACACTCAGGAGTAAGGCAGCGGGTGCAGGTTGGGGGGACTAATGAAATAGAGCTCCAACGCTGTGC